TAAAAGTGGCCTGTGTGGTAGTACATGCTAATTTCTGTGGTGTAAACACTCCCAATCATGGAGGATTTCTAGCTACCAAGGTCTGGTTGGTATACAGATATAATAGATGCAGAAAATTCTTAAAAAAACCTTTAAAAAAATCCATTGGTCCTGCTTTATCTCATCAGATCTTGTTTCTCTTGATTCCTGCTGGAGTTTTAATGTGTTATTTAGAGGAGAACTGGCATTTCCTTTATCTCCTGTTTTCATGAGGAAAATTCTGGAAAAATAACCCACCTTCCCCATCTGTGTCTCATTCTGTTTAGCAGACTGATGAGTTGGGGGAGGAACTGAATTTGTTTGCTGAACTTTGGACCTGAGGACATCTGAATTCTTTGTTCTCCTGTGTGGCAAGCTTCTGGGCACTAGCTCTGCTCCTAGGGAGAGGCCTGCAGTTTTGTGGTATAAGATAAATTTGGGGATAGAATGTTGGAAGCTGTATGTGGCCTCATAACACTAACATATTAGATGTAATTAAGATGACAATCTTATCTCCAGTTGTTTGTCATTTTCATTTCATTTTTAAATTGGTTCTTAATTCAGATGGGAGCTTTTAAAGCCTTGCATGCTGTGATATGAAGGGCCTTAAAGACGAAGATGGGTCAGTAACAAGCGTTCCTCCATCCACTATTTGCTCCCACGGTCTGGTCCTTACCCATGTTAGTTTAACCAATCCCCCACGAGGTGGCCTAATTAAATCTGTTAATAGCCAATCTTCTTCATTTCTCTGGTCTTCACAGCCCCTGTAATAACCCAGCTCTGAACATTCTCTCCACATGATGTTTGTCACACTGATGTATCTGGCTTTCTTTTGACTTTGTAGTCCTGGAGACCAGTGTTTGAATCCTGGCTCTCCCATTTACTAGTTAAATGACCTGGAATTTAAATTTTCTTAACCTTTGGTTGGTTTTAAATTTGTGAAATGGGGATGATGATAGAACCATCCTCTTAGAGGTGTTTGAAGATTGAGCAAGTTAAATAAAGTACATAAAGATTTCACATAATCCTTGGCACCTAGTAGTCCTCAAAGAAGGATGGCTATTATTCTTATGATTTTCCCCTTGTCCTCTCTCCCACCTATCAGGATTTCTGAAGCTGGTCCTCTACCTTTTCCATTTATATCCATTTTGAGGATAACCATGCCTCGCAGCCCTAGCAGGTGCATACTTGGGTGGTACACAAATCTCCTACTCATAAATGCTGTCTATTATGCACATTTCTGATTGACGTTCAGACATTACAGATGAACTATCCTCCTGCTCATTTTCCGTCCAATCCCAAATTCATATACCCTTACAATTTCCTTGTACCTACAAGTAGCACCCTGCTTTACCCCAGATCTCAGCCGTCCAAGCTACATTCTTTATTCCCCATATTTGACTAGGATTAAGGCCCACTTACTCCTTCCCAGGACTAAGCTTGACATTGGCAGAGGAGCTGTGGGATATCCACCCCCACCCCCTGCAGTCTCTTGCTGCTCTCTGTCCTTCACGTTCTTGTTTTCTCCTTTGTGCTTTTTGCTCATGGTGCTCAAGGGGCACTTGAGGATCTTTAAGTTAGTCTTTTATTATTTACTGACTTATTTTACTCTCTGACTCTTTGAAATATCTGTGTCTTTTCTGTTCAGCTAGCTTGTAAACTCCTTGAAGACAAAAAACAGGTCATAAACTTCTCACAGTTACTGTTATAGTACACAACAGTGCTCAATAAAGGCTTCCTAATGGGACGAATAGGTCGGCTATAACCCTTTCTTGTTAAGAGCGAATTGCAGCTCCTACTGACTGTCATGACCATGCCAAGGTCTTCACATGCACACTGCAGGCACACTGTCAGCCAGCTCCATCTTACTTACTTTTATCTTTAGCTCTGTCCTGACATGAGTCCTCCATTCAGTCTGAGTCTTTACCATCAATACACAGTGCGTGCACACATACACACACACATAGAAAGAGGATAGAGAGAGAGAGAAAGAGAGAACGAACACTGGGTATTAACTTGATAATACCCAGTCACAGTTTTGCCTGAGACACTTAGACATTAGGAACTCATCACCTTACAATGAAAACTGCAAGGCTAGACCACCTGGGAAGAGCTAGGAAAGAAGATGAGAAAACAATGCTATGGTGAGGTAGAGACAGACCGGGTAGTCAGCAAGAACATTTCTTTGCAGAAAATTGTCAAAATGCAAAGGTATGGCTTTCTTTTAATGGCAGGAGTAAGGGGTGGGGGGGCTTCCTCCTTATCTCATACCCCGTTGGGGGCACTTCAGGAGGACTCCTCAGAAACCTTGATGTATGTCCTCTGACTTCCAGTATATGGTACTCCCTGGAGGTGAGGGATGGGGCTGAAAAATTCCAACCCTCTAATTAAGGCTTGTTATTTCTGGTCGAAGAAAGCTTGTTATGAATAATCAAGCACAGTCCTATCATTCTGGAAATTCCAAAGGTTTTAGGAGCTCTGTACCAGGAACACAGGACAAAGACCAAACCATATATTTCACCCACAGAACCTCCTTTTGCTCTGGAGGTGTCTAGCTTTGAGGCAGGTCTGGGTTATAGAACAGAAGAATCTTATTTCAAATAAAATTTGGCGTTCCATTATTCAAATCAGCATGGACATTTTATAGTACTAAAATAACATTGGTCTTGTGTCTAGAATAACTGAAGCCTTTTTATTATTGAAAATGAGATAGAAATAGGATAGGTCCTGCTGAAGTATCATGCCAGAGGTAGAGAAGAAAGGTTCCAGGAGCGGGTTCCAGGAAAGAGAAAGAATAAAGCTGTTTTATTAAAGGTTGTCTTTGATACATACATCACAGTACTTTTCCTTCCATGTTGTTATCACATTCCTGGGTGCCATGTGTGCAGAAAGTTCTCCGTTACTGTGTGTGTGCAGGTATAGGTGTATTTGCACACCACAGCCCTTTCTGCCATCCAGGACTGAAGGTTGAACTCAGTTCCTTCAAGGAATCTTTTCTGACTACCGCAATCCACACGACTTTCCTTTAAAATTTTAAAATTATTATTATTATTATTACTTTTGCAGTACTGGGGCTTGAACTCAGGGCCTGTTACACCTTGAGCCACCCACCAGCCCTTATTTTTGTGAAGGGTTTTTCTAGATAGGGTCTCCTGATCTCTGCCTCCTGAGTAGCTAGGATTTCAGGTGTGAACCACTGGTGCCCGGCTGGTTTTATTTTGAGACAGGGTCTCACTATATAGCCAAAGCTGGCCTTAAATTCGTGATTCCTCCTGCCTTAACCGCCCAAATGCTGGGATTGCATTTTCCAGCACACCTGACTGTTTTTTTTTAAACCGTATGATCTAGTACTTAAATATATGGCCCAGCCATTTATCTCCATCATTATGAAAAGCTTGTCAACAGAAACCAGTGCTTTTTACCTTTTGAGTATTTTCTTTTCTTTTTTTTCCCCCTTTGGTGCTACTGAGGGTAGAACTCAGAGCCTTGCTCAGAGCAGGTGTTTTACCGCTTGAGTCACACCCGCAGTCCTTTTTGCTGTGCTTATTTTTGAGAGAGAGTCTTGTTTTGTGCCTGGGCCGGCCTGGATTATAATCCTTCTATTTATGCTTGTAGGTAGCTGAGGTGATAGGTGGATACCCCCATGCCCAGGTTTTATTGGTTGAGATGGGGTCTTGTGAACTCTTTGCCTGGGCAGGCCTCGTGTATCCTCCCGATCTCTGCCTCCCAAGTAGCTTGGCTTGAGTCACAGCATCTGGTCACTTTTGGGTTTCTTGTATCTCTTCACACTTGCAACCTAACAAATGCTACTTGCTTGCTTGGTCAAGTGGGTCCAAACTTTATGGTCACATCCATGGTTGGATAAGTGGACAAATGGCCAACTTTGGTCTAAAATCTAAAATGAAATCTTTTTGTTTCTTGTGGGAAATTGCTTGGCCAATGGATTATGGAACAGAGTATGCTAATGAAATAGCTGAATTTTGTGCCATCTTGTATTTGTTTAGTAAAAGTTAAAATACCACCATAACCAATGCCTGTGGTAAAATACTACAGTAACCAATGCCTCTTCAGGACTGTCTCCTGTTCTCAGAAAATATTTTTGGTCAATTTGCATGTTACTTTGAAGTTTGCTTTACCTCATAGTCACCAGTAGACCTAGTAGGTCCTTGGATTATTAACATTCAACTATGTAGCTTTTTTTTTTTTTTAACAGCACTGGGGATCAACCCCAGGGTGTTGTGCACCCCAGGTAAACAAGTGCTCTACCACATGAGCCATGTATATCCCCAAGTCCTTTTGTTTTTATATTATGTTTGAAACAGAGTCCCACTACCTTCATCCAGGCAGGCCTCAAACTTGTGATCTTCTTGCCTTTGCCACCTAAGTAGCCAAGATTACAGGTATGCACCACCACGCCCAGCTATCAAAAGGCTGAAACATTTGGCTTTTGATAAAAAAGTTTTCTGTGGAGCCAGGAGAGTTTTCCAGTCAGCTTGGAGTGCATCCTGAGGCCAGATCTCTCAACATTGCTTTAATTATGAGCAGGCCAAGCAATTCTTCAGATGCCTGCCTTCTTTGTGAGCACCTGGTTTTCATTGCTCATGGATGGTGAAGGAAGTTAGTTTGATTTTATGAATCTACCCATCCACCATTGGACAAGCAATGTGTTTGAGTGCTCAAAAGTGTGAGACTTCTCAAAAGCACTTCAGTGCTCCAGTGAGCCTAATAGATCTGGAAATTCATTTTTAAAAATTTTTTTTTCATTTTTGGAGATGGTGTTGACCTATGTTCCCTGGGCTGGTCTCCAACTCTTAGTCTCAAGAGATCCTCTGACCTCAGCCTCCAGAGTAGCTGAGACTATAGATGCACAGTATTACAGTATCAGGCCCTGCCGTGGTCTACAAGTTGTTGATGACTCTGAGAGCAGCATGCATGAAACATGTGTGTGCACTGAACACGTGAACTCTGTGCTTCCTCTGCAGGTGATACAGGCTTGCCATTCTTGCCCCAAAGCGATTGAGGTCGTCGTCAATGCCTATGAACACATCAGGTGGAACATAAAGTGGAGAAGAGCTATCCCTGATGATGACTTGGAGGTAAACAATCGATTCACTTCCCATGCTTTTCATTACCAAGTACTGCTAGGCTGCCATACAAGCACAGAATTTTCTAATTAAAAATGCCATCTTTGAGATGCTCTTTCAGCTTCCTTAAATATAATGAGACCAAGGGCTATCAAATGCAGGCATGAGAGTATATAGTTCTATCAAATAAATGCCATTAGGAAGTCTCTGGAGGGATTTCTCTATTTAGGGGTAGGTTGAATAAAGGTGGCAGTTTTACATTTTTTCAGTCAATTTAGATAAATGATAACATTTGGGATTGCTCATATAGCTTTTTTCGCCAAGAAATTACATTGTTTTCTGTGGACATTTCACTTACTTTAAATTTTGTGAAGTGATTATTACTAGACAGGAAGTAGAGCCTTACCAACCATTTGACTTAACATGGCAAGTCCTTAGCAGAGCCAAGTCCTTTCTATTTGTGGACTTTCAGACTTTGTCGCCTCTGTACACTTATCCTCCCCTCAAGCATTGTGCCCTTGGGTTTAGAAGCCGAAGGCCGTCTCTGACACATGAAGAGGTACCAGGCACAGAGCACAAAGTTCCCTAGGCTTACAGGTCTATGATGTAGCCATGCAATCTAGTTCTGCTATTAGCTACTTCACCTTTGAAAGTTACTTAATGGGACAACTTCACTAATCCTCTGTTCCCATTAAATATCTGAATATGTGGGGCACCCCAGGTGGATGAAGGGCGTACAATAATGTCAGATTAATTGAAAATTGCTATTTTGGTTTAATCTGGTCCAGGCAGTTCATATGAGTACACTTTATCTCATTTCCTGGGTTCGGAGCTGTTCAGGATTCCTTCCCCTTTCTCCATGTGCCACTGTCCCTCCCCCCCTCCCCATCTCAAATTCACGTTTAATTCCGTTTCTCTATGAGCGACCCTAGAAAGCTGCTCTTACCTGTGAAGTAGGAACCTAATGCATCATTATCGATTTTTTATTAATGTAAATAGTGTGGGGGTGGGGCTTCCTCACGATTAACCTATCTTGCCTTCCTTTTCAGAGACACTTTGATTTTTACCACTCTCTCTTCACCGTGTGCTGTAACTCTCCAAGGACCCTCATGCATTTATCGAGATGTGCCATTCGGAAAGCATTACACAACAGATGCCACAAAGCAATTCCTTTGCTTTCCCTCCCATTGTCATTGAAAAAGTACTTGCTTTTAGAGCCGGAGGGAATCATTTATTAAGCTTTATGAGACAGCAGTTCCAAATCCTAGATATTTAAGTGGACTCGCTGGGTGGACACAGTTTGCATAAATAAAACGGTCCTTGGGCTGATGATAACACTTCAGGGATTTCAAAACACTTTACAAACACTATGTCATTAATCCTAGAGTATCATGGTTAGGGGAAATAAACAAGAGATGTTAGGAATTTTCAAAGACAAGTATGTATTTAGAAGGTACTGATGTAGCAGTAGTAGCTAATGTGCATAGTGCTCTTATGAGGTGCCTGATATATTTTGTGAAACTTTTCATATATTATCTCATCTGAAATGGGACCCAAGTTTTCCTACAACCTATTTCATTCTCTACCTTATCAATAATAAGTTTACATTACTGTTCAGTTCGTAATCTAGCAGATTTTGTGAGTGACGTCTCCGCCCATGACCAGTTAGCAGTCATTACTGTCACTAGATTGCAGACTCCTATTCCCCAAACCAAGCTCCTCAACTTGTTTAGGGAAGAATGCCCATGAGTGTAGTCAAAAAAGGAGATCCTTGAGTGAAATTAGAGATGAGAGAGAAAGACCAGTCCACTTAATAGTCAGGAATGGACGTTTCAGCACACACTCATTGAGCCAGGCACTGGAGATGCACAGGTAAGTCCGACGTGACTCCTGCCCTCCAGGGTCTCACCCTTTAGCCAAGGATCCAGACATACAAGCAGGTGACTGCTGTATAAAGTGACGGGACAAGAGTACAGGTGCAGACTTATTTAGTGCTTACCTTTCAAAGGTGTACTTTTGATGTGACATGTGTGGTTTTTTTCCTTGAAGCATGAACACAAAGAGTAAAGGGATTGTAGAGGTACCTCCTCCTTTTATTAGGGTAAATGCATTTAAGTTTCTTCAAATGTCTAGAAATTGCTTTGTTTTAGTACAGTTTCCAATTAGCCACTTCCCAGACTCTGAGAAAAATACTGCGTACTCAGTGACTCTCTGTATATGACAAGGAAGTCTAGAGAAGTGGGGGAAGGGAAGATTTAGTTGATTATTGTGGTCTTTTTATGTAGCAGAGTAGCATTTAAGCTGAAAGATAAGTAAATAGAAAGACTTTTTGAAAACAGTAAACGTTTGAGAAACTTGGTAAGATAGATGTGCTAATCAGACTCTCTAGTTTGTGTTTTTCAGAAAGAAAAAATGTGGAGAGTTCACCTCTGGGCCTCTGGCTTATAAGGCCAAGTTTGCTTCATGTTTTTGTTCTTGCTAATCACTTTTAGATAAACTCATTGCTCTTGGCATCACTTTTTTAGAGGCTACAGCAGAAGTGTTGAAGCAAACGAATCTATTTGCCAGTTTTGAGCAGCTTTCTTCTATCTGTGTGGTCCTCCATCTTATTCAGCCTTGGATGCATGAGTGTTGAATAGGGACGCCGTCAAATATTCCACTAGATTACCACTAGGGTGTGCTTCTAGACTGGGATTCTCTCACTCCCGGTGCTGTGTAGAGAAAACATGAGTGGATACAATCATCTTTCTAAGTATTGTTTTTACTCAGCTAATTTGGGGAAAATATTTTGTGTGGAAACAGGATCTCTATCATGGAACAGAAAGCCGAACTTGTATGAATTACTCATATAAAGCATGATCCTTCAAAGAGTAGTTTGCTTGAGGGTTGTAGACATGACTCAAGTGTAGAGTGTTTGCCTAGCAAATGGAAGCCTATGAGCTCAAACCCCAGTACTGCCAAAGGAGAAAAATGTATATATATTCACACAAAAAAGTAGTTTGCTTGAGCAAGTGGTATTAGAACATATCCCAGAATATTGGAAGGGTTGCAAGCTTCTCTCCATCTTCAGGAACATTCTGGCAGAAAAAAAAATTGTGATCCAGTGACTTAGGACAAGTAAGGTAATGTTGAGGGCAAGAGAAATTGATGTTCTTCACATGGGGAAATAAATACGTTTTTCTATTGGCTTGCTTGTGTTTAAACATCTGTATTAATCTGGCATAGAATGTGTGGCCACTTGTTTTGAATTGTTTACTTGTGGACTTACCGTGATTGTGATTTTTTTCCTCATATTTGAACTTGTATGGAGAGAACTTAAATAAAGCTCTTTTGTTTCCTTTCTTCTTTGTGAGTTGTTTATCAATAAGACCATTTCCTCACACAGGGTTGACTTTTCAGCGGCGATACTGAAGAACTCTACATAGTGCATTGCTTTCTTCAGCATTTAAAAAGAAAAAGAAAATGAGGAATTGTGCATGTAAATAAGTAGTGTTTACAAAAGGAAGTAAAGGGTAAATGTGGCCTGGACACAAATAAAATGCAGGCCATTGCTACAGGAACAAGAGTGTTTTAATAATAACAAAAATGTGCTGAATCATTCTTGACCACTTCTCACCATCTCTGTCATCCTGGGGTTTTTCATTTTCCTTCATTCTCACCATTCGCTCAACTCTGAGCAAAGCAACAGAGGAAATTATATTGTCATGATGGCTTTGTTACTTTCTGGGAGAACTTTTTGTAAACAGACATCTGATGTCCTGAAGAAAAAACAATCTCTTTTCTGTAAGTTACATGAGAAGTAGAAGTTTGAAGTGAGGAAAAGATCACCTGTTCAGTTTTTTCTACCTAGACACACTTGTGCTCTGCTTTTTAATTACCTAGTGTTACATCTCTACTTGTCCTTCCATTCTGAACCCAGTGGGTTCTGAGCAAAACACAGTAGCCAAAAGGTGATGGGAGGGCTGGGAAAAGTAACAAACCATTTGCCGTGAGTTATCCGAGTTGGAAAGAGACAGCTGAGCCTTATATTTTTATTACTCATCTGATTCTGAAGAACTCACAAAGTTCTAAGTTGATATACTTTCAAAACTTTTTTAAAAAGAATCTAATTCTTTGTTCATTTTCTTTGAAATGTAAACACCATAGCTAGTGCTGAAAGGAATTCTTTTTCTCTTTCTATAGGGGAATAAGCCAATACTGTTAGGTGTTCAGAGTTTTGGCTCCAGGATCTGTCTGTCTGGGTTTCTATCCTGACTCCCATCCTCATTTGACTCATGATCTAAGGAAAATGGCACACCTATTCCATGCCTTAGTTTTCTCATTTGTAACATGGGAATAATAGTGGTACCTACCTCTCAGAACTTTTATAGGATTGCTTTGAATTGTTAATATAGTAAAGCAGAACGGCATGACACATAACAGGCATTGTTATACTATTGCTGTCTTCATTACTGTCATAATCATTTGTTAATTAGGGATAGGTTTCTACCAGTGGGGTAACATATCCTTAGAGTGAAGCTATGAATGTAGGAAATACCTGGACTACCTCCATTTGCTTTGGAAAGTGAAGCAAGTGAGCTCCTACTATGTGCTGGGTTCTTTGATGACAGCTGGAACTCAATGGGGACAAGACAAACCTGGTCCTCTATCTTCTTGGGCTGTTTTGAGGGGAGGAGTGGGTTTGGGAACATCACTGACGTGAGGATTAGCAAACAAGCAAATTGATTAATTTTTGAAACTGCTCCTTTTGGTAAGTGGGTGTATCAAGGAGGTGTTAATAGTGTTGGTATAGACTGTGATCAGAAGACTTCCAAATTCTTTGTGTCCCTCGGGAAGAATCCATGGCAGGACACGTGGGTGTAAATGGAGTTTATTAAAAGTTAGGAAAGGAAATACAAAGGGGAGCTTGATAGGGCGTGGGTGGAATCTGGAGGCCAGGATAGCATGCTTCTCTTTTCTAGGTGCTTTTAAAACCTGCGCTAATCTAGGAAAAGGGAGGAACCAGGTGATTCCCATCCAATCATCAGTGGTGGGGAGGGGCATGTGTGGATCTCGACCAGGTCAGGGCTGGCTCAGAGAATTTAATCAGGACTGCTATAGCTGTCCATAAACAGAAAATCTAGATTCTTACATGCTACATGGATGAATCCAGGCAGGATATGTAGATGCAGCGAGAGTGATAATAAAAGTTTATTAAAGGTGAGGGAAAAAAGTTACAATAGGCCATTATGAGCCAGGTATGAGGCAGAAGCATAGTTACAAAAGTATTTGTAAAAGGTAAAACCTGAGCAGTTCTTGGTCACTAAAATAATAGATGAGTGGGGAGGGGTCTGGGTGGCTCTCAGGCTAGGATTTGGGCTCCCTTCCGGTAAAGGTGTGAACAATCTGCATATATTTGCAATTAAAAAGAAGACAGGTGAAAGAGAGAGAGAAAGAGAGAGAGAGAGAGAATATGTTCAGTCTGAAATACAGTGTTAAGTTATTTATTTTGTTTTAAAGACCTTTTCTCTGGCCTGGCCTGCCTGAGGACTACTACACATGCAGTTCTGAGTTAAATGTGCAAGGAAGAAGAAGGGGGCTGTGACCAAGTCATTCTAAGAGTTACTTTTAGATCCAAGTACTAAAGGCTCACGCTTGTAATCACAGGTACACAGGTGCTTGGGATCCCAGTTTGAGGCTAACCCCTGGGCAAATAGTTCCCAAGATCCAAAGTCACCAAAATAAAATGGGTTGGAGTTTTGGCTCAAGTAGTAGAGTGCCTGCTTTGCAAACATGAGGCCCTGAGTTCAAACCCTGATTCCACATACACAATTCACTTTTAGTAGCTCAAGAAATCAAGAATAAAAAGGATGCACTTTTTAAAATTAGATACTATCTAATTGAGGTATTTTTCTGTCAGTCTGACATAAAATGGCTGATTAGGAATAATTTTTAAACCCTATATTTCACTTCTAAATTGCCTTATTCACATGCTTGTTCACATCTGCCACCGATGAGAAGACATTGCAAAGACTTTCTCCAAGAAGCGGTTGCTTTTTTGTCTTTTTTCTTCTCTCTCTTTTTTAGCAATACTAAGTGGATTAGCTCTGCTTAAATATCTTCTTTCCTAATTGGTTTTCTCAGATAGAGGTATGCCTCAGTGATAGTGGATAACAAGTATGTAAATACATGCTAATCCAGTCAAGGAAATAAAATAGTGATGGTACTTTGTGTTTTCTAAATTAAAGATGCACCTGGATTAGTTTTTAGTGCTAAACAAGCAGGGAAAAGCTGACAAAACTGAAAGGGGAACTGCCGGGGCCACCCTAAAGGTGGCGATGGGAGAAAGTGCCCACAAAGGAAAAAGCTGTCTTCTTCCCAGAGGACTGTGCATGAAGACGCTATCTTTGTACTCTCCCCCAGTCAATTCCCCCAAGTCCTTTAGCGCCACATCTAACCTGGAGAATCCTGGAGAGAATGCCAGAAAGAGCACCCAGACTCCGGGGAGGGGGAAAAGGGAAAGGTAACAGGACCCATAAAAGGGGAACCCCCTGAGCACTCTAGTGGACCATGAGTTTCTGAGTCCCATTTCTCACTCTCAGAAGCCTTTCCTTTCCCTCACAGTAAAGGCTTTCTCTGTCCTGCTACTTTCTTTCTTTCTTTTTTTTTTTAACTTATTACCAAGTATATTTTATTTTTTTTATATTTTTTTCCTTTTTCTTTTATTATTCATATGTGCATACAAGGCTTGGTTCATTTCTCCCCCCTGCCCCCACCCCCTCCCTTACCACCCACTCCGCCCCCTCCCTATCCCCCCCACTCAATACCCAGCAGAAACTATTTTGCCCTTATTTCTAATTTTGCTGTAGGGAGAGTATAAGCAATAATAGGAAGGAACAAGGGTTTTTGCTGGTTGAGATAAGGATAGCTATACAGGGCATTGACTCACATTGATTTCCTGTGCGTGGGTGTTACCTTCTAGGTTAATTCTTTTTGATCTAACCTTTTTTCTAGTTCCTGTTCCCCTTTTCCTATTGGCCTCAGTTGCTTTTAAGGTATCTGCTTTAATTTCTCTGCGTTGAGGGCAACAAATGCTAATTTTTTAGGTGTCTTACCTATCCTCATCCCTCCCTTGTGTGCTCTCGCTTTTATCATGTGCTCATAGTCCAATCCCCTTGTTGTGTTTACCCTTGATCTAATGTCCACATATGAGGGAAAACATATGATTTTTGGTCTTTTGGGCCAGGCTAACCTCACTCAGAATGATGTTCTCCAATTCCATCCATTTACCAGCAAATGATAACATTTCGTTCTTCTTCATGGCTGCATAGAATTCCATTGTGTATAGATACCACATTTTCTTAATCCATTCCTCAGTGGTGGGGCATCTTGGCTATTTCCATAACTTGGCTATTGTGAATAGTGCTGCAATAAACATGGGTGTGCAGGTGCCTCTGGAGTAACAGTCTTTTGGGTATATCCCCAAGAGTGGTATTACTGGATCAAATGGTAGATCGATGTCTAGCTTTTTAAGTAGCCTCCAAATTTTTTTCCAGAGTGCCTGCTACTTTCTTGTCTCCTGTCTTTTAATTCTTTAAGAGACAGAAGGAAAATGGACCCACGATAGTTGCTAGGCGGCATCAAAACAGAACTAGCATTGTGGGATTGTAAGGCAATCTGAGTTACAGGATGGGTAGACTACCAAGGCCCCAGGCACCATGTCCACAGAGACACAAAGGAACATATTCAAACTCTACCCTTTTCCAGGTTTGCGGGCATCTGAAAGTCGGTTTGGTTAATGAGCAGTTAGTACCCATTGAAATCATAATCTGAGCAGAGAAGCAGGATCTACAACCTGAGCTTTGCTCTCCCTTCTGAGCACCCATTCTCTCTGCCCATGCTCTGGGTTTTGGCAGGATGACTTCCATGCATACATCTATGGATCTCCCAAGCCCTGTGGAGGGCCTCCTCCTTCCCTAGTTAACAGGAGAGCAGCAGGTGATTAGAATCCTGCCTATCTTCTTCTCTGCTGGACCTCTTGCCAGTGACTGAATTCTTTAACAAGGCCACACCTCCAATCAGGAACCTCCCTCCTCAGCTCTGCTCTCCAGGGTAAGAGTAGCTGCCTCCTGCAGTTGATCCCTCAGACCTAGGGGTGTTCAAGGGTCCCGCTGAGTTGCCTTTGTCCCTATTCCAGATGCTGGTGTTTTCTGTGCTATCTGCACTTTGTAAGTAGTCTTTAAGTTCTCTCTGATCCTACTTCCATTTCTAGGGATCCCAACAGACACACAAACACATGTAACACTGGCAAAGC